GGAATTTCTTCCTGACGTTTCGCAAGCACGAGTGGCTTGCATCTTCAGAAGTGGTTTGCTTGAACGCTTACACTGTTCTCATCAGAACCCGCGCTTCAGTTCTTCCCCAGAACTGAATCGGGTTCTGATGAGAACAGTGTAAGCGTTCAAGCAAACCACTTCTGAAGATGCAAGCCACTCGTGCTTGTGAAACGTCAGGACGAAATTCTACCGAACGACGGCCTAAAACCTATTAGTTTCAAGGAATGGCCTCGAAAGTATATCCCTAAAGCATTTGCTGCGGCAGTTGCAGTTTTAAACGCAGAAACAGTGAAGGAAAAATGATGTTAAGTGGTCCCTTCAACAATTTGTTGAAGCTGTTTGGACGCAAAATGTGCGGTTTCTATTTGCCAAGAATATATTCTCGATAGATTTTACCATGTAATCTGTGAGCGGTTATTTTAAATAACAATGCGTAATTATTTCTGGCCTTTAAAATACGCGATTAAAAAATCGGACATGATCTAATATGAACGAGCCTAAGAATTTGTTGCTTGGAATGTTCTGGTAAGCTGAAAAGTCGTTTATTATTCAGAATTACTGGCTGATTGCAAAACTCACACGCGACCTTTATCGCTGGCTAGTGAACTTTGAAGAAGGGAAAAATTCGAATTTTTCGCGTCTATTTAATTAGAAAATGAATAATTGCTAATTACGGTCATAAATAACCATAATAGTTTTATCCATCAGCCTTCGCGTACATTCACCTTGCCATCATCCACTTCAACATTTCAAATAGATTTTTTCCTAGTCGATTCTTCGAATGTTAGACCAGGTCATCGATTTACCACAAGGTTACCAGTCTTTGGATTGCTATAATCGCTTAATCTCTGCTCCACAACACGCGTGTATCGCTAAAAGCACCTTTTGTTTTTACGTAATCGTTGTTTTTGACGAATGTGAGCGAATGAACTTTATTTGAATTGATTGGCGCTTTTTGTTCGTCACCAGATCCAGATGTTCCTGCCCAATTTGCAGGATGTGAGCCTGATGGTTTAATAACGTTGTTGCCATAAGCATATTGTCTTGAATAGTGCGCTTTTCTCCTCGCAAATTCTCCCAATCTGGCGACTCGAGCTGGAAATATTGCAGATGTGCCGATTTTATAAACACTTTTAGTTGATTCTGTGACTTGGTGTACTGCAATTGGGTACGTTTCGATGCTTTGCAACCGCGCATAAATTCGGCCCTTTCTGAAGAACACCTTGCAGAGAGTTTTCGCTATGAATGACTGCGTCCACCTGGCCTTTCTCACCTATGGGACGCCCATAAAACTCCACCCAAGCCCATGCGATCAGTAACGTTTCTGGGCCCTTGGCTTATAATATATTACGCTTGCTGTTGTTTCCTTAGTTCTGTCTTGCATGCCCATTTGCATCGATTTTATCGAGAATCCCCACCTTGAGAGGGTTTCGTCCGTTGCGTTTTAATTGAATAAATTGCCCCTTTTGCACCAACGCTTTCCGGAAGAAACCGGTGTGTTTTTGGCGAAAAATCCGCAAAGTCCAACTGCTTCTTGCAAAGGCAATAGTTGCCGTCCTAAACCTCATTAAAAATCAAACGCGCAAATTTTCGATGTCGATGTGAGGGCCGGTGTTTTATGCTGTTGGTGCGGTCGGCCAATTCACCTCACCCTTTTTAACGGAATACTGGCTCTAATCGGAATTTCACCGGTCCCTTATTCCCGAACTGGGCCCCCTAATTGTGCATGGTGCCCTTGCGTAGTAGTAGGGCCGTGACGTCACGGGACGCTGCATGTTTGTCCTTGTTATCTGTTGTGACGACGTAAAAAGGCCGATTTTCCCACTGAAAATGGATCACTTCGAGTCCCACCAACGTGATGGTGCCTGATGGCGTTATCAGCGTGAAGCCATGGTTTTTTTCGCGCGCTCTAAGCCAGCCGAATGTGACTTGTTTGCGATTTTTCCATGCTGAAGTGAATTGTGCCGTGGCCGCAACAGTTATGGATAAAACTTGGAACAATCTCTTGTGGGGCGATTTCAAAATTTTAACCGTTATCCTCGATAAGGTTGGTGGTTAGTTGATAAGCCCACACGCGACTTACACTTGCACCCGGGGTCCCAGTCTTTAGAAGGCCGATCAGAAAAAGCACCAGTTCTCAGAACATGCAACTGTTTCAGATGGCCTCATTGCCACTGTCCCGCAGCTCGACTTATTCGAGTTCAGATTCCGAGTCCTCTGATGATCTGCTGCCGGCTTCTTGCAGCCTACAGGAGATCCGGCAGGAAGATCTGGCTGCTATCTTGCCCGACCAAAACGAGTGCAACGACTTCAATGATTTCGACGAGAACAACAAGGTAAACTTGCCATAAAAATGTTTGCTAAATGATCCAAGCGATCACTGTCCCAAGGATTCACCCGCCACTGGCGATATGTCCGGTTCGGACATGGAACTCCCACAGCAGGCCATCAACTCCTTGATCCAGCGGACCACCGAATCCTCAAGCGACGGCGAAGGCCATCAACTTCCTAACCCTCAAACGCTGTTCGCCAACAGCCTGTTGCAGCAGTTCGTGCCCAACAGTCCTCTGGTTGGCCCCAATGGAAACTCACATCTGGCAGTTTCCATTGGAGAGTCACTGAGTGCTGGCGCTACTTCTTCTGGGGCCGCTGGCGCTCATGCAATGTCCAGTAAATCTTCCGATCATGCCAGTTCAGCCTTGAACTGTGAGGTGAGTGCGGACGCTCCCAGTGTGAAAAGAGGACGAGGCAGGCCAAGACGAGAAAACGGAGCGCGCAAGCATAAGGAAGACATGCTGAAGACCATGAGAGGGGCTGGGGAAAAAGGCTTGCAGGACTTCTGTGGGGGCCCGAACGTCAGCCCCGACTCCGGTAGGTGAATTCGACCGCGACTTTTCTCAGCACCCCCACAATGTGTGATTTTTCAGGCATTCAGAACAGCCCAGATCACGTTTCCAGTCCTGAGCCCTCGCTGTCTCCCAATCCGCGCCTGAAACATTCAGCGCTCATCAAAGATGAGCAGAAAAAGTCTCTGTGCTCTTCCCGAAGGTCCAAGTTGGAGCATTTGAATTCCAGACCTTCATCCACGGAGCGGCACTCAAAACGCATTCTTTCTCAAGCTTCACAAGAGCGTCAAGTGAAGCTGGATGAAAGGGCTTCTCGCAGAAGCAAAATGCCGGAGGCTCAAAAGGCCCCCGAAGTGCCATCACAGGGGAAACCCAACATAATCAAGCTCAATCAGGAGAAGGGCTCCGCCCGAAAGACTTCTCGCGAACAAAGAAGGCAACTGAGCAGAAACTCTGGTTCAAGCAGAGCTTCTTCTCTTGAGAAAGCGAAAGAGCCTGTAACTAAAGTGCCGTTAACGTGCAACCAATTGGATCGGGTTTTGTGCGCTAACACCGACAGAGTTCTGTATCCACCGAGGAGGAAAGTGGGAAGGCCGCCGATCAGGCGGCCAGGAAGACCGCCCAAGCACAGGGTGGAAACTTCCGAGTGCAAAGGCCCTTCCGACAAACCCCTATTGCCTCCCAAGGGTAGGAAAGCGATCATTTAACTCTCAACTCTGCTAAAACTAAAAACTAAATTCTTCCAGGTAAATCTAGAATCCGACTATCGTCCAACGCCGCACAGCCAACGAAGCCAAACGCCAATCAAAACAAGGCTGTGTCTCTTCAAGTGCCCAAGATCCTGCACTCCAAGCACTCCCAGAGACACAAGAAGCGGAAATTTAAAATTTTCAAGTCGGTTGTGTCGTCTGACCCGAAAATTCACCAAGAAATTGAAAAGTTGGTCGGGGATTTTTCCAAGTTTTGCGTCATTGGCTCGAAGCAAACGAAGGAAGCTGCTGCTGAGCCAGCGGTGAAAACATTGAAGAAAGTCGCCAAGAAGAGACGAACAACTGACTATGTGGAAAAGAAAAAGCGAAAGCAGAGCGTGAATGCCACAGTGGATAAGGCATGTAGCATCAATCAAGTTAATTCGTTGCCAAACTTAACAGTTGTTCTTATTAGGTTGCAAACTCCATCGAACAGCGGTTGCCTCTGAAGAAACGCCACTATCATCTCGTGAGCAATGGCAGTGAAAATCAAGCAACCGAATTGGGAGAGCAGGAAGAAACCCCAGCGGAGCCGCAGGATCAAAGCAAAGCTAAGGCTGAAAAGAAAGAAAAAGGCAAAGAAAAGGACTGCAAAGGGCTTTCCAAGTGCGCCAACGCCCTGAAGAACCACACCAACAACAACCAATACGAAGTCAAGGTACCAGTAGTTTTTCTCATCAAAATTGCTCTATTAAATAATTCTCAATGGAAACAGGTTGAAAAGGAGGCGAGCAGCCACATAGAAGAAGCGATAGAAGCGTGCATCCACAAATTCTCCGAAGAAAAAGTTCCCAAGCCGGACGACACTGAGAACAAATCGGTAATGGCAACCACCCCCAAAAAGCGCCACAGATTGGAGAACTTCCAAGAACTCTCCTCTTCATTGCCGGAGATCAAAACCGAAGTCTCATGTTCCGGTAATGAGGACACATTGGAAAAGCTCAAGTCTTCAGTCACGGTAGAGTCATACATCAATGAGTTGAAAATCAAGAGGAACTTGATGGCGCAACTTCCAGAAGACAACAACGCGGCACAGCCCGAACATGGAGAGGAGCCAAAAATCAAAAAAGAGGCATCAGCAACTGTGCAAGTAGGTTTCATGCTTTGCGGAAATTCCTTGAGTTTCCATATGATTGGTTTCAGGTGGAGAAAACGGTGCCAGTCTCACCAGAGAGTACAAAGAAGAAGGTGCGCAAAAGAAGGGCGTACAACCGAACCGGGTTTCCAACCATCAAGAGGAAGAAGAAGAAGCCCATTTCGACTTCGAATCTTCAGGCGTCCGTCGTCGATATTGACGACATGCCAATTTGTGATAGAGTGCCTAAAGAAGGTAAGTTTGATGGATGCATAGCCGGAACAGCTAAAAACCAGAAACCGTTTCAGGAGAAGAAATCACAAAGTTTCTTCAACGCAGTAGTAGAGCCAATAGTTCCACGCCAGACTTAGTACGGGCTAATCTCGAGGTTCTAGATGAAGTGAGTGAATGTGAGAGCCTTCCTCAAGACGAGCGAATCGACTGCGACGAGGACGGCGACAGTAGTCGGTGCGAAAGTGTTGTCGATAATCTATCGGACTCGCGAAACAAGTCAGACATTGCAGACAGTGAAACGCTGTCGCTTTTGGAATTCTCCATCGAGCGGTTAAAGTCGCGATTACATCAGAAGACCCGAAAACGCAATCGAGACACCAGACCTTTAGCTGGTGAGTAGCCGCCATGTGTTTGCCCAACTTTCCTTAAAGTCCTCAAACTTGCAGAAAAAGCCAATATTTATCCCAAGCGGCGAAAGCGAGAATGTTCTCCAGCGAGTAGCGTTGAGCCGTTGCTGGAAAACAGGCTTAGAGACAGCGCCAGCGCTTCTGGCGATGAACTATCGAAGAAAAGCAAGAAAGCTCCCAAGTGGAAAAAGAAGTATTTACCTGCAGGCCTTTTTTCCGACTTCTTCAAAGAGGAAGAGTAAGTAGACAGAGGGTAAACCCTTTTCACAATCAGGTGCTTTTTTAACGCGATGTTATCAGGTCAAAGCGCCAGGACGCCGCAAAATCATCCAGGATTTTGGCCTACAACGCCGAAGACCATCCGTTCGGTCTTTTGCCTCCTCCTTACCATTGCGGAAGATCGTTGAGGCGTAAAATGGTCGACTTTCAGTTGCCATTCGACTTATGGTGGCAGCACACTCACTCGCAATTGCCCGGTAGGGACTTAGTGCCTTCCTGGAACTACAGGTAAGTTGTTGCCTATAGTGGAACTTGAGGGGCTTGATTGTTTAACTTGCAGGAAAATCCGTACAAACGTCTATAATGTGAAAACCAACGGTGGTTCTTGCGAGCCTCAATCCTGCAATTGCAAGTCTACTTCGGATTGCGACGATGATTGCATCAATCGACTGGTGTTGGCCGAGTGTCCCACGTCGCATCGCTGCAACAATCAGCGAATCCAGAAGCACGACTGGGCCCCAGGCATCGAGAAATTCATGACTGAAGACAAGGGTATTATTATTGTAGTATTGAATACAAGAAGCACCAGTTGACTGATAGTGTGGATTTGGTTCCGATTAAGCTATCGAGTCCTTCACAAGAAAGTTTTAGACTTTGGTAATATTTTAGGCGGTTTCGTTATTTTGCATCAAGCTCATCTGAAGCTTTTCTCTAAAGAATCGCTTCAGGTTTAGAAATTTTGGTTAGCTTATTCAATACAAGACGCATCATTTTACTGATAGTGTGGATTTAGTTCCGATTAAGCTATTGATTCCTTCACAACAAATTTTCAAACTTTGGGAATATTTTGGGTGGCTTTTTGCATCAAGCTCATTTGAAGCTTGTCTCCAACGAACAGCTTCGGTTGTGGAAATTTGAGTTCCAAATTTTCATTTTTGCAAAACTCGACTAGACTTCGAAAAAACTTGGCCACGACGACCTAAACACCCGGAATTCTCACCACTTTGTATACTTTTCAACAGTTAACTTCCTCACGTGAAAAGTGAGTGGATTTTTCCACTGAGAACAGTCGAATGGGGACTTAGAGAAAACTTAAACATACATAATAGATAACCCTTTAATTGTTAATGCTTGTAAATACACAGACCGTAAGAACGCTTGCCTTGCTAAGTGGAAATTGGAGCACGACAGAGC